GTATCACAGAGGGACATCAACCAAATATTTCTTCTGTTACAGAACACAGTTGGCGAATAATAGTAATTTTAGTCCTCTCTTTCCTCTTTTCGATAGTGTCTGGGCCATTGTTGGCCTTTATAACAACGAAAAAACGGGATGAGCTCAGAAATGAGGGGGATAGGAAGTCAAAAGCTAAGAAAAATTCGATAGATTTCCTTTGTGGGTTTTTGTTAGTAATATTTGTTGCTATATATATAGCAAAAGTGGCAATAGTTTATGGATATAGCAGCGGTGAGAAAATTGTTCCAATTAACATGTATGCTGTTTTTGTAGCAATACAACCAATCATTGTGTTTGTTGGGATTATAGTCTCTTGTATGACATTATATTGCTGTGGGGAAGACCAGGAAAGACAACAACAACAAGGACATCCAATGCAGGACATTGTAAAGAAGAAGTCATTCTTTTTCATAATTTGTGCAAATTTAGCAACCTATCATTTTTGTTGGCTCGTAGTTGGTATAATGCTGAATCCTATCTGGGGTCTCGTTGTTCTGCTCGTACTTTGCCTTTTTATTGGTGTCTCAACCTTTGCATTTTATACCTACATATATTCAGTCCCTCAAGGGAAAAACCTTAAAAAAAAATGTCTGTTATTTTCCTCATGTTTTGCTGGGTTCCTGGCCATCTGTGTTCTTATTGTTATTGTGATTCTAGCTGGGCAATCATATAATGGAAGACAAACTGCTGATGAAGCTTTGAAAGAAGCAGTGATGTATTTAATCTCTATATTCTTTTCATGGCTCTATTGGAAGGGGTACTGGCTTAGATCATCTTCTGAATGAACGAGCGTAAAAGAAATGCAAACACTTGTGTCTTAAGATGCTCCAATCCTTTCATTTGGATATTATTGTACATTTAAACCAATGGAAAAATGTTTTCTGGACTCACCCTAATCATCTGAGTAATAACTAACCTTTCATTAATTGCTCATTTTCTGGTAAATTAATGAAGAGTATTTGGTATTGTATCAAAATAGTAGCTGGTCTTATGGCTAAACTTATCTTTTCCTTTTTCCCTAAGTGCTTGATAATGTAATGATATTGTAAGGTGAAGTTATTCCTTAGTCACAAATTTTACATGCTGTATAACAGTTCATGCAAATGATATAATTAAGTAAGATCCTAATCATTACGCACCTAACTATTTGAAGAAGTACAGCACTGTTTATTAAAATTATAATCTCAGTTACTATCTCATGCTAAAACAGGTTTGGATAGCAAACCTTAGCAGCCTATTGTATAAATTTAACTAGCCTTAGTTTGCATAACTTGGTACCAATGAAGCCCAAACTAGCTAACTGGTGAAATGTTTACCACCAAGGTAAATAATATTTGTGCCTTTCGAAGTCTATAATTTTTTTGTTCTCATATACAGGTTTGGATTTGTTTACATCTCCAATGTAGCATTGTAGTTCTGGATGCATTTTATAAAAATTCATTACGTGGAAAAATTTCTAAATCTATATAAAAAACTGTTAGTAATATGTATGCATAGAGGATAACTAGCCAATGGTAAACAGTGCTTTCATTAAGATTTGAGGTTACATAGGTGGCTGTCCCTACATGGCACCTTTAAGAAACTGAAATTGTTCTGGTTTTCTGGTTTAAAAATGGAAAAAGTTCGTCATATCTGGTGGTCTGCAACAGAACACTGAGTGGGGAGGGGGTCCATCAGTTTATAAAACATCTCCTTTTACGTATTGTGTCAATTTTATTTTTTCTTTAGTGAATTAAAGCTGTCAAGATTTTTTCAGGTATTTTGCTACACAACTGACCTTGCAAGGCTCTCACAAGTCTCTCACAAGGCTCTCACCAAGTCTTACTGAAAGCACTGCCAAATACAAAGACCTCAAGTTGTACCATTTTTAAGTGCCCTATCCTATACAATGTATCAAATAATTAATCTTTTAGTAGGATGACGACTATTAACAAAATATGACTTAACAAATACCTTCAGACTACTCAATATGTTTTTAATAACCCTCATTGGAGATGGTAATACTTTCATAATCTGGGTAAGCTTTTTTAAGTCTCTCGACTGTGATGGAGTAATCAGCTCTACCAAACCCCTGGAAACTGACATATGCTTACCTAAAGGTCAGTGTATTGAGGGGTCTGGGTTAAATTCCTGCCCAAGCCATAGTAAGTGTTCCTTAACAGATTGTTTCACTCTCACAAGTCCTGTCTCCACCCAGGAACAAGATGTCAAGAATAGGTTCTGACAAACTGCTGGAGAAACCCAACAAGATGCTGGGTGGTAACCTGCAATAGACTTACATCACATGCAGGGGAGGCAAGTGGTGCTACTCATAGTCACTTCATTCAGGCCTTAACCCTTTACACACCAACATTAGTATGCATTTTCTCCATACTGTTAGCTATATGTTTCCTAAGGTGCTGACAAGAAGAACTTCCCAAACAATCCAGGGCTTTTGTAGTTTTTGATCATTTCCATTATTCTCATGACCTTAGTGTGTGATTCAGGGGTGATACTGTTTGGAGAAATTAGATGTTAGTCACTCTTAGAGGGTCAAAGGGTTAAACAACCAAAAACTCTAGCTATGTGGGCCCCAAAAAGTTGGCTACAGAGCAATTGCTACCCTGTTTTACCCTCATAGCATGAGACCCAGATGGTTTTCAGACTAAAGAACACAGGGAATTAAACATGTACACACACAAATTAAAGGATCAAAATTAACCCATCAATCCACCTTTCTCTACATAAAAAGTACAATGAGAACACTTAAGCAGCATGGCTGAATGACAATTTTAAGGCTCTGCACTCAACTTAGTAAATATGTGTACCAGTATATCTTTCAGATACAAGGGTTGACTGAATGACTAATAATAAAATACACGACAGGTCCAGAATTTATATGGCCCATGAATTTAGCTTTGGTTCTGCCACTTGAGCATCTGAGATCAAAAATAAACACCACAACAGACAGAGGCTTGTTTTGGGACCAAACACTCTATTAAATGTATATATCTTACGTAAATAACACACTAGACTATTACATAACAAAGATATTGGACGAATACACTAAACCAACGGTCCAGCAATCAAGAATAAACTACAAACACGAATAAGATTAAGGTACAATCATAACTGTCGATGGTGTGGGTGGGAGGGAATCTAAAACTTTCTTAATGCTAGAAATAAACTTGTTGCTTGCTTGCTTGCAAGATTACTAAAAACACGTGCACATATATCTAAGCAGTAATTATAACTAAAGTAATTTTGTAATAAAAACGCATTAGCGTGGTGAATAGCCATTGGCTTTACCCAAGTATTATGACTTACCTGCTAAACAAATTGCTCAATCTTACAGAAAAGGGAAAGTATTAACGTTCACTCTGCCTGTACCCAGTCCAGACCTCTCAGTTATCGATGTTTAGGTTCATATTAATGGAGATAAATATTCACTTTTTATCAGGTATAATTGCAGATGCAAAACAAAGAGGTTCTCCAGGCTACTGCACTGGATGACACTACCCTCTAACACAGTTTACACAACATCTTCAGATTAAACTGTGGGTTCTTCAAAAAAACAAGTTTGGTCTCACACTGCGGTATGACCTCGTAGCAATTCGAAAATAATAGAACATCTTAATTAATCCTGAGGATGAAACCTATCACAGAATAACTATACACAAGGATTTTCTTGTCACTGAGTCTGTAATGTTGTATTCTGTCTTCAACTAAACATTCAGTTTTCAGT